TTTTTTCAATATTTTATTTGTTTTCAGCACACCAAAATACATAGAAATTAGATGAAAAATAATCAAACAGCTTTTTAGTCGCAGACCTGTGTTATGGTTGTAAGGTGACAACTTCACCTTAAATAGCTTCTGCCAAATTAATTAATTAGCTTCAGTTGCCTTTGCTTCTCTGATGTTGGGATTCTTATCGTTGAGCAAGTGAGCTATTCTGAAGCTGTGTTGGTAGGGGAGAGATCTTCCATTAATGAATAATTTTTCAACAGCATTCCCAAAAGTAGGTTTGTGGCAAATTTGGAGGTAGGGTAATTAATTCCCTACAATTGAGACTAATGGGAAGGATTTTTTTGTGTTAAGAAAGAGCAAATTGTTTTTTCTTTATCTTGCTGCCATGAAATTTTCCCCAAAAATTTCCAGTAGGGTTGTTTTGTAACAGTGCATAAGACCTCAAAATGTTTAGCTAAATTATTAAAATTGGGTTATATTTATAGTTAAAATAATCCAGTTGACTTTTTTTAATATGAAACAAATTATCAGATCTTTGCATGTAGCTTACTTGAAGTCTTCATAATTGTAATTGACAATATGATGAAACCAAACAGATTTAAGTGACTCGGCATTATACATTGTGCAAACATACACAATTTAATTGATGTATATAATGATATTAGAATTGAAGGAAGCTCTACAATGGAATTGAATCTTGTCCTACACACCGTGGAACATGTTTTAAACAAATTTTCCAGTATTCTAGAAAATTCTGTTTACCTATCTAGCTGCTTATTTGTTTATTTTTATTAGATTTTACCTCAATTTTTTAAACTTAATAATTAACTCAGAGTGGTGAACATATATTCACCTTCCTTCTCCTAGCTTCCCTGCAACATAACCCTGTGAGGTGGAATGGGCTAGAGAGAATGAGTGGCCCAAAGTCACTCAGCTGGCTTTCATGGCTAAGGACCAAACCAAATTGGCACTCTAAGTGTATATTTAAAATCATAGTCTGCTACAGAAATGGCTGGTTATCAGAGTTTCAGTTTAAACCAATTTTGGCTGATTTTTAAGAATGTAGGTCAAGTTTCATTCTATGCATGTTTGTTAAAATGCAGTATAGTAGTACATTTATTTCTGTAATGGAAATGAATTATACCTGTGATTTGGCACCATACCAGCATTGCAGTATTCAGGAAGAACTTGTCAATAATTTTATCTTTTGGAATGATCCTTTTCAATGAAAGAAACCTCCCAATCATTACAGGAAATGAAGACACTTTTAAATCATTACTGCTGCACTAGGTTTCTCTATGCAGAAATTAAAATTCCTGAAAATTACAATTTAAATTTTCTAAAATGGATACCCCAGCCATACTATATACTATAAATAAATGTTGAATGTATTGCACATTAGATTTGTTGTGGGATATTCTGCTAAAGTAATATAATACCTGAAATCATAATTCAGAATTTATAGGCTTAATTATCCTGACACAATACAGTATTACAAATACAAAGTAAAAATACCTGCTAAACATAAGTGGTACATACGACTACTCAGCCAGTATATAAATTTTGGCCAATGTTACCGTAAAAAAGTTTATCCAATTTGGTTTTTTAAACAAAAAAACAATTTGATTACTGATACCAAGGTTTCATGTTCAGCGTGATTTAAAAATAAAGCTGAATATTCCATTTTATCCATATAGTTTTATAGAAAAATTCATTTTTTATAATGTTGGTATATCCTACACCAAACCTTACAGTGAAAAAGAGCATCATCAGCTTTACTGCATGTGTTCATGAAATTTGTTCACACAAATGCCTGTTTTGGAGTGTTGCATAATGTCTTTTAAGCATAGGCTTCTCTGCTTCATACAAATCTGCTGGATTTTAGTATTCATGTAGTTTGCTTCAAATAATCCTTAAACATACCCACACTTTCCCTTTTCTGAAGAATTGCTATGTGAATTGAGAGAACACCATTAAAACATGTCAAGGAAAATTTTCATACTAAAGCCAAGACAATGTTCAGATGAAGCAGGTTTTTTTTATTATAGTTTGTCATATCTTTAGCTTTGAAACATTTCAGAGATAAATAATGTAATATTGACATTATTATTAATATTTAATATCTACAATAACCTAATCAAACACATATTATTGTGAGGAGCTATGTGCATATTATCCTCTTTCTTATTAAATTTAGTTTTATATAATAAAAATATCCCTAGGAAATGACTAATCACTTCAGATTTAATTCTGTTTGGATTTGCAAATGAATATTTATCCCATTAAATGTTAATTTGAAATATTACACAAAAATATTCATTAGTATGTTAATAAATGTTTCAAATTCCCTAAATAGAGATAGTTGTTGCAATTAAACAGTGTTAAGATACTGAGTGAAACTATTCATTTGATTTTAATCATAATTTTGGTGTTCTCTCATTCACTTTATTCCTTTTTCCTTTATTTCCCTGCCCTCCGCCAAATAGTATGCCACATATTGCTGCCCCTTATTTTTAGGGGTGGTAATGAACAGCACTGGTGAAATCTTATGTTTATTATCATACACAGGTTCTGTTGGTTTCTGTTTCTGAGTTATTTGTTGTTTTTTCTTTATTTTTCTCCTTCCCCCCTCATTTGCTCATGTCTTGGTTGGCGTTTGGTGGTGTATAACCGTGATTGCGTTACCTTAGCAATAACAATTGGTCGTCTTGGTTACGTTTGTCCTCAAGAGGTGGCCCCCATGCTACAGCAGTTTATAAGACCCTGGTGTGTATTATTCAATCTTTTTTTAATTCATTTTTCTTCACTTTCTTCTTTCTTTCTTTCTTTCTTCCTTTCCTCTATTCTCACTTCTAGATATACTTTTCAGTTGGTTACAAATATCACTATTCTTAATCATTGCCAACCATGTGACTAATCTTGTCCTATCAGGTTTGTGAGGTTTTTTAGCAGTACTGTTGTGTATATATTTCATGTTGTGGCTAACAACTAATTGATGCATGGGATAAGATTGTCACATGCTTGATGTGTCAAAGCTTGATTATTAAAAGCATTTAAAATCCACCAGAATGATAATATGCATGCAAAAAGCATAAAACATGAAACACCGCATTACATTACTTCAAATCATTTGCAATTTGACTTGCTGTTTGAGATACATGTTTCTAGATTTGTACCAAATTGCTTGCTTGCTGCTGTAACAAGTTAAAGATGTTTTGTTATGATACATCATAAATTTTATATTGTTGCAGTATAAACTGCTTTTACTGATGGATAATTCTATACGTACGTATATATATAGCACAAATATAACAAACATATATATATATATATATATATATATTAGATTTTACAACCCCCGGTATGCCCAAATATGGGAGGAAGATCACTACTTCCATTCT